ATGAACGGAATGTATTCAAGGAATAAGTTATTTGATAATGAAAAGATTATTGGACATCAGTCAAGTAAAATAACATGCTTCCTTATACTAAAGGTTCGTTATTTTACATCTGATCTGGATGATTATATGTATATCACGTTCTCATAATAAAATTATAATAGTCTGGCAATAAAGCACTGTTCATTTATTATATACATACACGTAAGCATACACTTCCGAATTATAAATTTTCATGTCGGGTTTATTTTGTTGTTTTGATATAGAATTTTATACGAAAACAAACGTGACTATGAAAAGACAGACAAACTATTCATTTATAAGTAATTAAAACTAAATAGGTAAAATTCAAGAATCATTTCTGGAAACGGATATAATGAACAATCAGTATCAGATGATTGTTTTATATTAAAATGTATTTTCATGTTCTAATGAATCGATTTTTCGGATTCCTTTGAACTGAATTCATTTTCTGAATATAGAGTGATAGTGAAAGTATTTTATTTGCCTTAAAGATTACTTCCATTTCATCAATGATCCCTTTTGATCATCGATTCAAAAGTCCAATGATCAACTTTTTGTTGTTCACCTAGTATACAACTTCACCACATTTATCTGTTATACCTGTGGTTGTTCATTTAAACGTTTTGTTGCAAAATGAAGCTACTGTGAAACTATTATGAATCCCTGTATTTTATTGGCAACACTTCGTTATTTATGATAACACATACCTTTTAGTCTTTAGACAAACTGAAAACATTTAAATCAATTAATCCATATTATACTGATGTAAAGTCATAACTCTCAGCTCAGTTTATACCTGATGGTATATTAATAAAAAAGATCTGTCACGAAATTTAAAGCCAGATAATCTTAACTAGGAAGGACAATAATTTTGTCTGAGGAAAATATTTTAAAATATGTAGTAGAACTGGTTGTTCAGAATATAATTGTTATGTTTATATTACTAAAGGCTATGTATCTTGATGTTCTGATAGATTATTTCTATTTTAAGTATAATAATGGAAATACTGACAACTTTGTTTATCACAGAGACGGTAAAAGTGAAATTTATGGGGAGAGAATCTAATAAAATGTCAATTACTCACTTTTAGGTGGTTAGCACTTCGTACATTTTCAATTTATGTATCTCAGATTCAAATGTTTCAGCAAACTTGGGTTAATACAATGGTTATTTTGACTAAATTTTCCTCATTTATACACCAATTAGTTTGCGATTTCCTTCAAAACTAGCTTGTGTATGCAGATAATTTGAAGAAATAATACTCAACATTTTACATAGATTTACAAATCACCATCGAATCTGAAATATTCGTAACTGGCGATATTGACACCTTTTCATCATTAATCCAATAAACTCGTTCTGTCACTGTATAACTAATCGAGGTTGGATTCTTAATAATTTCATTATGTAGCATAAACTGTACTAAACTTGTTTTATTTAATGTGAACGCAATGTATTTTATTTTTCCTACCTAAATAGTTATCTAAGTATATATTTGCTAGGTAATTTATGATTATGCTTTTCACTTGGAGACTATTTGAAGTCTTTACAAAAAAGACTTGCTATTTTTATTCATGACACATAATACGGAATATACAAATGGTAAACAAAGAAATATTTGATAATGAAAACAGTATTAATTAAATACTATTCCCTTAAAAAAGCTTGGACCAGATTGCCAGGCAAAACCTTGGATTTACTTCAAATTCTTTCTCTGAGATTTTACAAAAAAACATTCTTCCTATTTAATGTCTCACATTAGCTCGACGCCCAAATACTATGAAACTATTCGATCAAATTTAGACGGAAGTTCGTTTCTACTCTCCAAAGCTTAGAAAAAGGTTATTCTTTTTAGGAAAAAAAATAAACAAAATAGAATCTGTAATCAGTAGTTGATAAACTTTTTTTTCTAAACTGATAAATGTTTTAGACAAAATATTCAGTTTAACTTTTGATGGGGAAATTTAATTTAATTTTTAAAACAATAGGATTATAATACTTAATCTATTAAAACTTTTAACTTACAATTCATAAGTGTTCGCAGGACGTTATACGGATTTATTAAAGAAAACTTATTTTATCCATTTTAAATAATCAATAGAAATTATTTGATCTTTAAAAGAACCGATTAAAGTTTAACTAAATAAAACAATAACGGAATTTAGATGATTATTAATTATTAGAAAATTCTTTTCATATGTGGCATTTATCACTAATCTTTTATTGACAGACTAATAATAATCTGGAATGTGTTTACCTGTTAAGGTTCAATTCTAAGGAAGATTTTCTCTAAACTTATTATATAATAATTTATCTACTATTAATTAATATTAACATATATGATCATATATGAACATTTTCTTTAATCATTTATAGATAATGACAGTTTATCTGTTAGTAAGATTTATTGTTGTAATTCAAAGTTATTTATTTGTAATCAAAGCACATTTGATAGAATTGTACGGTATATGTAAATTGATTTTTTTTTTAAAAAATATGTTCTAATAACCTATAAAGATTATGATTGAATGTAAGAAATTCAACTGGTGGAATATATGGTAGTTAATCTGATGTATAAGCTTGTATTTCATAAAATTCATTTGAAAAGGGTGAACTTATTCACTTATTATAATTACTAACTTACTTACATACTTACGCCTGTTACCAGCAAGGGTGCATAGGCCACCGACCAGCATTCTCAAACACATACTAACACGGGCCATTTTTTCTAGTTCTATCCAATTATTTTTTCATTCTTCTCATGTCTGTCTCCATTTCTCGGAGTAATGTGTTATTTTATCTATCTCTTCTCCTTTGACCTTGAGGATTCCAAGTGAGGTTTTGCCTTGTGATTGAGTTGGGTGCTTTCCTTAATGTGTGTTCTATCCAATTCCAGCAATTCTTCCTTTCCCACAGTCGGTTGTTGCTGATAGTGTCTGGCCAACTGACCTGAGGCATTTTGAGTAGACAACTGCGAATAAACACTTTTGTCTTCTGGATGAAGGCTTTCGTATTTATCCAAGTTCCCGCCCCATACAGTAGAACTGTCTTGAAACTTGTCTTTATTATTCTGATCTTGGTGTTGGTTGACAGATGTTTTGATTTCCAGATGTTCTTCGATTGTAGATATGCTGCTCTTGCTTTGCCAATCTACCTGGAGCCCTTCTGGGACTGCTACCGGTCTGAAGTTTGGATGAAGAAAGAGGTTTGGGCATGGGGTTGGCGACCCCATCCCGTAGAAAACTAACTCACTAAAAAAGGATGTTAACCAAAAATATAATACACTATCTATAAATTAATGTAAACAAAAGATTATTGAATCGATTTAATTAAAATTCTACTCAATTCCTAAGAGTGTAATCATTAAGTATATCAAAAGAACAAGTTAGTTGTAATATCATCATCAAAGAAATTAGAGTTTGTTTATTTGCAATTAGTATAACATAGCAAACGATAATTAGGTTTTAGTTATCGATTAAACATATAAGTGTTTCAGTTGTTATGTAGATAATGAGAATAATTCCTTTTACTCTAGTGAAATGTGATGATTGTTATTTTAGATATGAATGAAACAGCTGTACTTTCATTCAAGTTACTTTTTTGAAATTCTGATTATGTTCTTTTTTAAAACTTAGATGAACAGAAAACGATTCATTAAAAATAATTAAGTAAGTTGTTTAATTGTTTACCTAATTATTTAAAGCACATTAAACCTTATGTTTAAAAGGTATATTTAGACCTAAATTACATTCCAAATGTGTTTAGTAAAAACAAAAAATTGTTCCACAGATTTATAATCATCAGAGTATTCAGGTTGACAGGTTTTTAGTTTCAAGTAAGTTAAACAGCTGAAGAAAAAATTGGGAATCGTTAGGTATACAGAATAACTAATAAACAGCATAAACCAAATATGAAATAATAATAAAGTCATTCAGGATGAGACGTATAATTTATTTGCTCATACTAGCAAGCTAATCAAACTTAACGTTTTACAATCTGGCACGATTAACAAAGAACAATGCATAAGAATGTAACAACTTAGCATATTGAAAAATATATGAATCTGATATCAATCGGTCTCATAAGCAATGGGTATACCTGTACTTCATTGAAATGTTATCTTCATAGCAGAAAATTAAACAATACTGCTAACCTTCATAATACAGTTTATGGAACTAATCTTGAATCGTGATAAGTCGTTGTTTCCTTTTATCGCAAAATATGAATAACTACATACAATGTTAAGGTGGTAATCTATATGATCCAAAAATAATCATTTAAAATTATTGGTGTCTAACATATGGTCAGCCAGAAAGTTACTAAAAGTTCGACACCACGAATCCATTGTAAACGATCATCAAAGAACTATGAACTATTGGAGAGAACCGCACAACGATCTTCACAAACTCCCTATATTAATGATAAATATGTCCTTAATAGTGATTAATTTCAAGAAATAATCTTATTTTTATGAAAGAGCCATGACAGGTGAAGTTCAGCCATTCAGAGAGTAAAAAAATAATACAATTAGCTACCGATGATGATCGAATATTAACGAAAATTAAAAGTTAAATATGTAAACTAGTAAATGTCAAATCAGTAGTCAAATGATCAAGCACTAGCCATTAAGCTTGAAAATTCTTACTTCAATTTCTGATAAGGTTGTGCGTGTGCATTACTGAGGAGTCCTATAGTTGAATGAAACACCTCTTCAGTGCCTGCTGATTTCCTTTAATTTTCTAAACAAACCTAGTTCATAATAGATAATTTTTATCAACCATGTAGAATATATCATTTGAAATAAGGTATATTTGTATCATTAGGGGAAATACATATAAATCACTTACATACAAATTATTTATAGAAATCCGGATAAAAAATAGTAAAACTCCCTGATATTTTGCTATACATAAAAATACAATGGAACATGGATTATGTATGTTAACTTTAAACTATTTATAAATAAGTACAAAAACTACCACTGTATTAGGTTTGATTAATTGATGGTGATATAAAACATTGATTACTACTAATGGTACTATTATTATTAATTATTGTAGGCACTTGTGTATTACTATTGTTATGATTTAATCGTGAACAACCTTGCTTATTGATTGAAGATTGATTAATTATTGAATTGTAAAAATAACACAATGCAAAACTAATACATAATAATAATAATCCAAATAAGAATATACTCAATGATGTCCATTGGGAATAATTAAAAAATCCATTATTACTCTTTGATATATATGTATTGTTCATATGATATTTTGATTGATTTAAATAATAACCTGTATGTATACAAAATATCACTGAAGCTATTGATATACTAATTAATCCAATAACTGATGTAAATAGGACACAATAATGATATATTCTAACACGAGTTGTTACACGTCGTTTTAATGGTTGCATATCATTTATAGATAGATTACGATTAATGGAACTTAATTCAAGCATTATACAAGGATTCGGTATTAAACGATTACTAGATGTTGTCAAAGTTTCATTTGTTACATTTAAAAGATATTTTGTATTATCTGTCATTATGCTGAAGTTTTATTTTTTTTTAAATGTTGATTATTGTTATTGTTTAAATTATCTATAGGATAAGTACATAAATAAGGAAATAAGTTTTAACCTTTAACAAAATATACTATCCCGTCTATGCATTATTCTATTTACAGATAAAAGCTAAATTTAAACAAAACATTATGATTGGTTAAAGTGATTTATGTAATCTATTATCTGATTGGTTAATAAAATCTATTTATTTAATTGAAAATAATCGACTGAACAAGCGATGTTATTTATAAATAATGGGATAACTATTTTTTTTTCCAACATGATAAAACGGCTATATTTTTTTTTAAATTGGGAAATAATAACGTAGAATTAAATAAAATCTAATCATTTAATTTATTTATTTAATATTATGTTAAAGAAAGGAAATCAGTATTTTAAAACAATTAGTCCCTTTGATAAATTTCGATAATGCAATGAGAAGACGATAATCTTCGTCTTCTCATTGCATTATCGAAATCAATATTATTGATAGTGCAGAATAATATGAATGTATTTCATTTCATTAGGTTCTCATCAGCTGTTTACAACCTAAATTATTTGAAAATCAACGAAATTACAGATATTGACAAACTTATACATTAGAGGGTGATTAAAGATGAATATATGTATTATGATGTAGAGAAGATTTCAAGAGAGTTAATAAGGTTATAATCTATTTTCAGTTGCTTCATTAAACAATCATTTAATGTTTGCTAACTCTTAAAGTTCTAATCATTATTTCAATATTCTAGAACTTTCCCTCCCAAACTTTATTTATCTGAAACTCAATTGAAATCTTCACTATATCATGATACATATATTCATCTTTAATCATCTTGGCATTTACAAAAACATGTCAATATCTGTAATAACGTTAATTTTCAAATATTTTAGGTTGTAAACAGATGGTGAGAACCTAACAAAATAAAATGAATTCATATTATTCTGCATCAATCTTAGTTCTTGTTCTCTTTAACATTTGTTTCTAGGCAAAATAATGTTTCATCAAAATAAGAAGTTTATTTAAATTATATCAAAATGTTAATCGTAATATGATTATTATTATTATCACACATTACTCAAACCATGTAGTGTATAATATCTTCTAATAACAGACTATCAGTTTAGGGTTGTGGAGTTTGTTGAGTTTTGATTAAGATCTTCTTTGGATGCCGGATCAGTGATACGGAAGTTAATTGTTCACCTACAAGACCAATGGTTCTGGGCCCGAATTCTTCGTGCTGGATCGTGGATGAGGACTGTTAAAGAGTTCCATACCAGGACGAAATAGTAGTCCAGTACTTCTAGTTTTTCACTAGGGATCTGATATTGATCCATCCATGAACTCAGTCAAAATAATAAACTGTTGAATAAGTTGCAGTAGACTTTTAAGTGAGTATAATGAATTCATACTACTAAGCGTCTACTAGTCATTTATTTGGCTTTGAGTGTTAACTCGTATGACAATTATAGCTCTGTATTTTATTAAAATATAAAAAAAATGCATGCATCTATATGTATAAAACTATATGAAAATTTTCCAGGATTAATTCTATAAGAAAATGCTTAACTTGATTAATCACTGAATACATAAAATACGTTTGCTTTTAGTCAATCATTTGTTAGAACTGGTAAATGAGTTACAGCTCAATCGGAAGCATATCATTAAGGAAATTAATTAGAGTCAGAAAATTCATCGAAGCATAATCATGAATTAAAACATACTTTAACACATAAATTAGACTTTATTTATTGTGGAGATAGATTGATCAGAGAATTTTCCGATTTAAAGAAGTTAAATAACTGATAGATCTATAATACTTTATCTAGCAAATATACTCTTTGACGAACAGGTTGTTAGAGTTAACCTAGTGAATAACCCGCATTCCTAACATGTCACTATTTTGGAAAGTTGTACAGTTTTTCGGATTTTTTTAAAAACCTTTTCCTTTCTTTTTTGTTATTGTTGTTGTTTTGTTTGTTTGTTTTTTTTGTAAAAAACTTGTTGAACTACCGTGTGCTGAGAATCATATAATGTACCAAAGTATGATATTGAATAAAGCCATTAATAATAATAATAATAATAATAATAATAATAATGATATATTTACTACTTTCCTTCATTAGTTACTTGAGAACTTATATAGTAAAGAGTTTTGTCATAGACTATCTTTAAGAGTAATATATTATTTAATCTTATGTATAACCAGAAATCTATCCATGTGATGTAATCAAAAGACATACAATTAAATGATTATCTTCGAAATCTTCAAATCAGATACTTTCAAAGAGTTTACAACCTAAACACTAATAATATTTATAACTGTAGTTTTTCCGATAAACTGATTTTCGATTATTTAATAATCCTACCGTTAAACGTTACTTACTTACTTACTTACGCCTGTTACTCCTAATAGAGCATAGGCTGCCGACCAACCCACTCTGTCCCGGGCCTTCTTTTCTAATTCCATCCAATTCTTGTTCATTTTTCTCATGTCTATCTCCATTTCTCGGCGTAATGTGTTCTTTGGTCTTCCTTTTTTCCTTTGGCCTTCAGAATTCCATGTGAGGGCTTGTATTGTGACGCAGTTGGGTGCTTTCCACAATGTGTGTCCTGTTCAATTCCAGCGCTTCTTTCTGATTTCTTCCTCCACTGGGATCTGGTTTGTTCTTCCCCACAGTTGATTGTTGCTAATAGTGTCCGGCCAACAGATCCGAAGTATTTTGCGTAGATGACTGTTAATAAACACTTGTGTCTTCTGGAGGATGGCTTTCGTTATTCTCCAGGTTTTCGACCCATACAGTAGAAACCGTTAAACGTTGTTAAGCATAAATTTATATACTATTTATTTAGATTGATTTATTTACATGACATTATTATATTATTATTTAAGAATAAATCAATTGAAAGTCATTATTGACGTCATTAAAATGGAAGAATATAAAATATTTCATTCCAGTCTGTTATAACCATTCACCGTTTTTTTATTAGGAATGTAAATTTACGAGAACGACAACATATTTATATTTCATAATTAAATATAATTAGGCATAAACCCATGTCTAGTTTACTGATTTCAAAGGGTTAAACATAACATTGATGTTTATAAGCAAAGATATAAGTGAAAAATAAGTATCAGTCAGCAAAGTTTGGTAGAAATAATGGCTCAATTATTTTTTTTGTTTCATCCTGTCAGTTGTCAAAGTGGATAACACATGGATGATCATTTATGCAAAAATTAGCTTAGTCTATTAGAAAAAAATATTGAGTGTTTCATAAAGTTTTGTAAACGGTATGACGTTATAGCAACTATCCTACAATCAATTTTGATTATCGTTAATTTTGTTTAGGCCCATTTATTAACATATTTAACAGACAATGTTATCTGAATAGTAATAATTAGCATATTTCTCTGTACCATAATGATCACTAGAGCACATGACAGACTCTAGATAAACTGTTGATTGCTTCAGTATCAGTAGATGATTCATTCTCCTCGCCATGTATATATGTACTCAAATCCTATTATTAGTCCTTGCTTTGTTTTGTTACACCCTTATGCAATTTGACTAAAAATTTGCCTATGTAATTGCTCGTATATACTTATTCACTTCCCCACTTTCAATTTGATCAATATGCTTATAGCTCTGCGATCTGCGCTATCCTTTAATAAAATGTAGTTTCCGCTTCTTTTTGCCCTCTGATTTCAAACACCATTGAGGTTTATATAATGACGGTTACGAGGGTGATTGGTTAACGAAGCAAAGCCACTACAATGTCTTTTATTCATTTGTGATAATCCACACAAGTTCATACAGAAATATCTAAAAAAATACTTAGGTTGTAGTTTACCGCTAAAGACTAAATAGCTATTTCGGGATACTATATCTTCATGGAATTGTGGTAAATTAGATAGTAGATACAATAATGTGGATTAATGAATAAATAGAATGTGGCAAGTAGTCGAACCCACGATGGCCATATATTTCTATTTTAGATGGAATTTTATCCCAGGGATAATATTAAATTTGAGAATTAAACACAGTTCCATTTACTTCAAGTGCTCCACTAGTGATTCAATTACCTAGTGAGTTTAGAGAAACAATCACTTGTGTAACATATAGGATATTTATATTATTATTTGAAATGTTTTAGTCATCCTGTTATTAGTATTGATCAGTCTGATTCGATTGTTCTTAATGCAATCAAAATATCAAGAATAGGATAACTTAAACTTTTATAATATAAATATTATTATTTATTCTTTAATACTAAATGATTTATTGCTTATTTTTTTACAGAGTGAATAAAAGAAGCAATCTGAATTCTTTCTAGTGTGATATAAATGGTGCTTTCAATGAACGAAGCTACAAAATTGACACTACCATCAACCGTTAGTAAAAGCTAAGTTCTTTGTTTTGTTTTGTTCAAATAAAGTATGAATTTAAGTAAAAGGAATTGAAGGACATATGGACAACTAATTCATTATATATTCAAGTGAATAACACTTCAAGTGATGTATTCAATGAAAAAAGAAAACACTTTATAATCGTGAATAAACTTTATTACATTCAAAAGCATTTTTCATATTTCAATTACATTTATAGAAAAAAAGTTGATTTCTATAAAGTTCAGTTGTATAGGTAAGATTTTTTCTTGATTGAGATCATGAACCGACTGACGTTAGACCACCTTTGGAAACCTGGAACCACCGGACGGCTATTTCTTCCTGTTGTTGAACTTCTCAGCAGTGCGCATCCACGATCACGCCAGCGGGATTCGAACCCAGTGCCTTCGGTTTCGCGCACGAACGCTTAACCTACTGAACCACTGAACCAGCATCCAGTGGTGATAGTGTCTATTTGTAAATAGTATTAAATCTTTAGGTTATATGCATTGGTGGAAAAACAATTTCCTTTGACACAAAACGATTGTACTTTTACAATTGAGTAAATTACATTCCAATTCAACTGATAAATTT